AATACTGGAAGACTGGCAAAAGGAACCACTTACACTGGAAGAAAGTGAACAGAATTGATATGTGGAAAGTCTCAAACATGAACCATCCAAAGCTAAATACAAAGAAAGAAATGACAATGACCAAATAGGCATTCCTGGCATCACTGAGATCATTTTTGGGCAGAAGAGTTTATGCAGTATTGTTCTGGAAGTGATACCATCAGGACTGCAGTAGCACTGATAACAAATGAAAATCACCAATAGGTTGGCAGTTTCCAAGCACTAAATGCAAAAATAATGGCTGATCAAATCCAAGCTAAATCTCTGAATGTCTCATTTGTTGAAATGTATGCACCAACGACATAAGTATCTGAAGAACAGCTCTATGCTGACATTTAAGAAGGGCTGTAAAAAAGCTGAAAAGAGATAAAATATACTTTATGGGAGATTTCAACACCAAAATTGGAGACAATTAAGAAGCAGAAATTGTTGGCAGATATTTTTAATAGAAACTGGATTACCAATACAAGCCTTATTCAATCCAAATGCTAATTGTATACCTGCACATTCGAAATTCATTGTATTGCAACAAAATCTATTATATGTTATGCAGTCAATGATGGAAAAACACATTTATCTCTGTTCAAACTTAATCTGCTGCACACTATGATTTGGATTATCAACTACTTGTAGATAAAATTGATTTTAATTGAAATTCTGTAATACCCCCCCCCCCCAAGAAAAAACCCCAACCCCGAACATGGTACTGTACCTAGGAATGTGATAGTGACAAGATTTCATCTCTATACAGTATGTAGTTGAAATAAAAAGAGTTAATCAACCATGGAAAACCAACCTAATAAACTATGGAAAGAAACAACAATAAAAACATCCCATTTCAAATACACAGTCCAGAAACATGTCCCATACAAAAATCTAACAAAGATAAGCAAATGGTTTTCAGTGGAAATCATCCAAAGAAAAGCTAAAGGCTTCACTAACAAAGCATGGTAAATGAGGACTTTCAACATAACTAGAAAAAAATGACAAATACTGGGATGAGCATTGTATACAATGGAAGACAGAAACTAAAAAGGATTACTTCTTGCCCTAAGAAAACCCAGACACCATTCACTACAGGCAAAGGAAAAATAAGGGGCAGAGATGGGAGGGAAAACAAATGATAAGAAACAAATAAAATACAAATAGAATAAATATTCTATTACAGCATTGGATACAGTAATGTTTTTCACTCATGACATAACAAACAGAAATTTGAAGAGAAGTCAGATATATTGTTCTTGTGAGCAGCCCAGAGTTGTCTCTTAAGATGGATGGCCATAGAAAAATATTAACATTTTTAAAAAAAATATTAATAAATAAAATTAAAATTTATTATTAAAAGTAAATCAAATTATTGGAACTCAAGGTAGCATGGGCACTGAAGCAGTTGTCCAGAGAGACCCTGGAATTGAAATTTCATCAAAACTGCTTGAAAAGCAGCAACAGCAGCAATTAAATTAAATAAAAAGATATGGGATGCCAATAAATGGATGAAAGACTGGAAAAAGTCACATTCAACCCAATCCCCTCCGAAGATTAACACTCACAACTGATACACAAAAGGCTTGATTTCATACATTAGCAAAAATGCGTTGAAACTGGGTCAAACATGAAAAAAAGAGCTGTCCAACACATAGAAGAGGAAGAGGTACTTGAGACCACATTGTGAATGTTGGAATAAGCATGCAGATTTCAAAAGGACATATATTTATTCCCCATTGACAATACCAAACCTTTTCAATTACACTAAAATTTTATCTAAGTAGTTGTAAGATGCGAATGTTCCAGGATGCTTGATTGAACCAATAAAGCATTATGCAACGACAAAGACGGTGCTGTCAGAACACAAACTAGTTCAAGACTAGAAAAGATGTCTTGCAGGGCTGTATTCTATCCCCTTTAATATATAGATAGAGGCAGTTTTAAGTAAGATGAATCAGAATCAGAAGAAAGATTAGTGGCAGGAATATTAACAATTTAAGAGATGGAGATGATACTATTATGGCAGAAAATGCTGCAGAACAAAGAATTCAAAAACTTAAGGCAGAAAGTGAAAAAAACTGGATTGCAGCTAAATACCAAGACGTTTAAGATTATAAAACAGCTGGAAATGGTGACATCAAGACAAAAATTGATTGAATCAGTCCAGGACTTTATTAGATAATTTGGTTCCACAAATGATTGAAGACGTTTAAACCAAACTTAAATGTAGAATATCACTTAGCCATGCTGCAGTGAGTAGAAGGAAGATCCACAAGGCCATCAGTCTTAATACGAAGTGCAGAATAGTAAATATGATTGCTTTTCTATAACTACTTAGGATGATGAAAACTAGACAATTAAAAAGTGGTAGGAGAAATGTAGACTCCTTTAATTTATGGGTTTGGAGATGTCTACTACGCATATTTTGGACAACAAAAATAACAAACATGGAGATTTTAGATTGCATGATTCCAGAAATAACACTGGAAACTAAGATTAACTAGCTAAGGCCATCTTATTTTGACCATATCATGTGATTAAATTCCTTAGAAAAACCAATTATGTTTAGAATAGTTGAAGGCTCTGATACAGGAGGCTGGTAAAGGAAATGCTGAAGTGATATTATCAAGCAAGATATGGTTTAAAGCTTAAAAACTTAAAATAGAAAGATATTGGAAAGAATGAAGAGAGCAAAGTTTAAAGGGTCTCAAAGTTGGATGAGACTGAATACAGGTTGTCCTCGACAAAAGTTCAATTAGTGACCATTCAAAGTTACAACAGCACTGAAAAAAGTGACTTATGACCATTTTTCACACTTACTATCATTGCAACATACCCATGATCACATGATCAAAATCCAGATGCTTGGCAAGTGGTTTATATTTATCATGATCGCTGTGTCCCGGGGTCATGTGATCAACTTTTGCGACCTTCTGACAAGCAAAGTCAATGGGAATCCAAATTCACTTAACAACCATGTTACTAACAAATGCAATGGTTCACTTAACAACTGTGGCAAGAAAAATAAAAAAATGGGGCAAACTCAATAAATGTATCACTTAGCAACATAAAATTTACACTCAATTGTGGTCGTAACTCAAAGACTGCCTGTAGATAAAGGGTTGGGGAAGGCCACCTAAACATTATTATCCTCACTTGTCAGGCACAATTAGCATGCTTTCTCCATTCTTGATAATAAGGTGCACAAATATATATTCATTTCTATTCAGAATTCACCCCAATGTTGGTGGATCCTCCAAATAAATCAGGCTTCACTACATTCCTCTTCATTCAAAGAAGGGTTAATTCAGTGTATTCTCCTTTTTTCTACTACAGTTCTGATAACAAACTTGAAGGACTTTAAGCAAGTGATAAGAATGGTCACTGACGACCATTCATCAGCGGAGAGCTGCTCTCTCCACTTTTTTTATCTGCAGCAGCAATCCCCTTGTTTACCGGAAAATGAAGTTTCAGACAGAATAGGTAAAGCAAAGAGAAAAATAGGTGATGAAGTTGAAAGAGAAATCCTTTCAGGAAACTGGAGAACCTTAATATGTGGAGCAGTTTTTTTAATCTCCAGGATATTTCCCTCATGTCCAATAAATGGAAACAGAAAGACGAAAATGAGCATCTCCACAAACTGATTTTCCCCCTTCTCCTATTTGCACACACACACACTCACACACTGACATCCCTAGTTTATATAGTTATTTTTTGCATCTGCTAAAATATCCTTTGGCCAGTTGAAGCAGATATCACAGTAAGTTTAGGTAGAAGGGTTTATGTATCACCTTGAATTGGCTTTATTTGTTTCTAGCCTGATACCTAATCCCAGCAATTGTCGTTTGTAAATCAAGGTATACAGCAAAGCATGTTGTGCCAACCCAATTGATGTGGATTATTCCATTAGCCATGGAGAAAGAGACCTGACTTTAGCACAATGTGTAAAATGGGTCTCCAGACAACTTCACCATGTGACCATGTGACAGGACCCTCAGAAGAACTGTGCAGGATCAAAATCCTTCTTGTTTCACGTTCAGTTTCACAATGAGCAAAAACCATCTCTAAGAAGCTATTAAACAGGATGTAAGAACTGAGGCTTTTATTTTATTTATTTATTCATCAGATTTTTACATGCCCGCCTCACCTAAATGACGCTGGGCAATTTACAACAAAACGGGTCTTCTGTTGACGTTTCACAGCAACTGGGAACAAACTGGCTCAGTTCACATATTGGCCTATAAAGTAATGAGGTTGAGTAACTATAATTCAGTGGGAATCGATAGAGCACCAGTATGGCAACCATCACATTTATTTATTTAGTTTGTCACTCATGTACAAGATTACAGGAATTAGAATAAACATGAATAATAACACAGGAAATGGGTACAAATAAATGGGGACAGTAGGACAGGGACGTTATCAAGTAGATGAACCTAGCAATTAGAGGTTGATAATCTGGATTAATCTGAACTCCCCCCAACTCCGAAAACTGCAATTCGTGTCTAACTAACTTTCCCAACAGACCCCCCCCCCCAATCACTCTGAAACGAAAGGCATTCAAGCAAGCACACAAGGCCATGGCAAGAGACCCTTAAAATAATATTTATAGCTCAGGATTAAATTGAGGGGTCGTTAGCATTCTGTGCGCTACGTTGTTTTCCTGTAGACCGTTTCATTACCCAAACTACATACATATAACCTCATCAGATAGAGAGACCCTTTCCCCTCCATGAATGGAGGATCTCGATGATCTCATCACAGACTATATACCCCACTCCCCCCGCCTCCCCAATTCCTTACACTTCTTTCGGTCGATCTTCGGGCTGCCCCGCTTGCTCTCGCTCCTTCTCTCTTTTAACGGCAGCTGCTCCTCCCAAGCCCCATCTCGCCCCATTCCCACCCCGAGTCAGAGTGGACGAGACGCTGTCTGGGATGCCTTCCCACGTCCCCCGTCTCCCCCCACCACAACTTACTTCGCGGAAAGCGTGTTGATGGAGCCGGTGATCAGCATCAGCGCCGCCAAGCAGAGCTGGTACTTCGTCCAGGCCATCGCTGCTCTTTGCCGCTCTCAGTAAGCAGCCGGCCCCGACTATCCCCCGCAGCGGCTCGGGTGCATTTCCTCCTCGGCACGTCACATGACCGCCATCGATCAGGTGACAGTCGGCTGCGCTGGCAAAGGCGCCCGCGGTTTGCGAGCCGCCTTCTCAGCAACGACCGTGGGGGAGAAAGCTCGTGATCGTGTCCTCCTCTCCCCCCTCCCTCCCTCATTGGAAGCCGATGGGTGCTTTGTGATCAGGGCTAGGCGGCAGGGAAGCGGAGCCTATGCGCTTTAGCTGAAAGCAGGCAGGAGTTCAGCCGGTGAAGCTTCCTCTGCCGTTCAGCCGGTGAAGCTTCCTCTGCCGTTCAGCTTGTTTATGTCAAGAAGGGGTTTTGTCCTTAGTTGCTGGCCTCCCTAACGATCGCAGTGCGCTGCAGTCATAAGGAGTGACGGTTGATAAACTAATTTTGAGCCAAGCAGTTTAGGGAAAGACACAGATTTTGCTGCTTGCGCGAAGAGAGGAATAGCCGAGCTGGGCAGAAATTAGGTTTCCTAGTATACAGATACGGAATTGAAACTGCAGGGAAGAAGGAAGTGTGTCTGCTTATCCCAGATTACTCATTTGATAAAGAGAATTAGACTTGGTTAATACTTGGGTGGGATACTATTAAGATATTCCGTTCCTGAAGGCCAAACTGAAAAGTTGAAAAAAAAAAACATCTTGAAAGAAAGCAATGGCAAGCTATAGCAATACTGTCGCAAAGAAAATTCCATGGATACGCCCTGGAGAAATCCAACACAATTTGTCTTTTCTTTACTTGACATGCCATGTTTCCTGATAGTGAGATCAAATCTCTGATTTACCTCAGACTGGAGATTCTAATTCTGTTGGGTTTTTTTTTTAAATGGCAGCACAATTGCACCACGAACGAGAGCAAAAGGTAAAATTAATAGCTTTTTTGAGGTTGGTTGATCATCAAAAGGCTTGCATTTTTTTGGGTGTATGGAGGGTCGAAGTGGTACATTGGGTTTGTATTTTGGGGGGTATTGTTGACAAGAGGAATCCTGTAGTTGTAAAATTACTGCTGAA